CACATTTACAACTTTAGAAATATATGTTGACGTTTTAATCTAAGAACTGTTTGTTAATGACTTATATTTACGGTAGAGCATTAGAAATATAAGATGATGTATTGGTTTGATAATGATTTACAATAATTAAAGAAGTAAAAATTGTTTTGTAAACCAAACCGTAAAAATGTTTTAGAAGATTTGTTAGTAAGAAATATCCAGATCTAAAACTATTCAAAAACCAGTACCCCCCAAAAAAATAAAATTTGACGTTTTAACGATATTTCAAAAAAGAAAATTTAACTATCATATAGGTTAAATTTAATTTTCATGTATAAATCACATTTGAAAATAAAAGTATAATAATATTTTCTATAGAAATTATATTATTAACTACACCAATATTATTGTAAAATTAGATAATATATAATATTAAATTATATTTATTTATTGATAGATGTTATTATATAAATTATAACGTTATAGTATAAAACAAACTTTAACGGTCGTGCGGTTTAAGATCTAGTAATTATTTCGAATGACTGATTATTATTTCTGTTTGTAATCTTGTAATCCATAGTTTATATTTCAGTCGAACATTTGAAAAGTAGATTCCGTGCCCTTCCACACACACACAAAAAAAAAGAAAAGAGATTCCTGCCCTGACAATGAATTTCCAACTTCTGTAGTTCTGTTAGTTGTAATTTGTAATCATGTTTTAAAATTGATACACCAGATTTTTCAAAATCTCCTAATCATTATTTTTTAACCTCCTAAGACGTATGTTTTGTATGATAATCAAAATAAACGGAAACGTCGCATCTGGTTGACACATTATCGAGCTAAAAACAAAAGGGGAGTAGTTCAATATTGTCTTATACTTTTTGTCCAACTTTACTAATCTAAATTTTGATATTCTTAATTTCGTGCAAGAAATGGGAGCATTTAATACCGCCCACTAGGTTTTTTCACATATATGTTAGAAAATATGAATAGTAGTATAAAAAGCGAATATATTGTTGTTTGAAGAAAATGATACTATTGTTCTTCTTGCATTAATATTCTTTTCGTAATCTGATTAATATCGTTATTAATGTTTTTTATTTAATGTTCTTTTTTCATTAATATATAAGTTAATTTATTTATATGATTAAGTATGTTTAATACAATATATTATTATAAAGTCTGAGATAAATATATATTTAATTGATTAGAAAACATAATTAATCTATTTTTTATAAAATATCTGTGGATTTTAACATAGTAAATGAAGTAATTATTATAAAAAATAAATAAATATATATATATACATATAAACATATATAAATATATATATATATATGCTTATAATAAATGAAATACATCCATAAATTGCATTTATATTATGTATATTACATTATACCAATGTTATAATATTATTGTACATTATTATTTATGTGAGTAAAATAAATATTATAAAAATTTAGCTATATATTGCTAACAATTTGTGGAATTAAATTTTAGATGTTAATTCCAAATGTCTTAATATATAGATTAATGATATTAAAACATATTTAAAATTGATTTTTTACTAATATATTTTCAAACAAACATTATAAAATAAATTTAATCAATATATTATAAAAATATGATAAAAGGCCCAATTTCAAATACCAAATTAAATTATAATTTTTATATTACACAATAAATTTTTAAATATAATAATATGTGATTAATTATATAATGGTACATATAAATTACAATTAACTACAAATTAATTATATGCTAGAACATATAAAATATGATTAATTATATCATGACACGTATATGATATATAATAGTGACATGAAAATAATTAGCATCATATTTTTAAAAAAAAATTCATCAGTGCGAACGCGCTGATCAAACTCCAATTTGTTATTAAACATAAGAACACATTTGTTATTAAACATAAGAACCATTATTACAAAACCGGAGATTACAGGAACCGGAATATAAAACTGGTGGACTAAACTTACATCTCCGGGATCCTACGCCACAAGGGGGAGCTAAGATGAAACACATAAACATAAACATAATCTGAAAGATAATTGATGTCTTGTGTTTTTCATGATTTTGATCACCAATTCATGTATATATTGGGCATTTAAATTGGCATTTAGGCACAATTAGGTTTCTTTATCATATTCTTAACAAGTGATGGAGGTACCAATTGATTCATTTGAAACATTTGGAGTATGATTTGAAGCCTAGGAGGTGATTTTGATTATGAGGCGTGATGGTACCTAAGTGCAGGGGCGGAGGCAGCATGGGAGGAGTGGGGTCACCTGACCCCACTACTTTTAAAAAAAAATATTTATTTTTAATCAAAAAAATTATATTGACCCCAATAAAAATGAAAATTTGACCCCACTAAAAATATAAACCAACAAAGTAATTAAAAAAGCTTAAAGATTTTTTTTAAAATATATAAATAACATGTTTAATTTTTGATTTGTTAAACACTAGATTTATATTAATTCTAACCTAAAATCAATAACAAGTTTTTATTTTAATATTAGTTACATATTTGTATAAAAAAACAAATAATTAACATTAGACAAAATTTAAAATCATAAACAAGTGAATTTGAAGGAGAAGATTTGTATTTATGTTTTCGACGAATACAAGACATTGAAAACTCTCATGTTCCACACACAATTTTTGGATAATTTTTAGATTTTTACTTATATTATTTTACTAATTCATTGATTCAATTCGATAAAAACAATTAGGATTTATGTTCATGATCTGAATATATGTAACAATTTAATTTTATATTTAGATGTAGTCTAATCTTTTAAATTTATCAGATAATTTTAATCATGAATTTGAAAAGAAAAATCTATCAACAGATGATAATTTTGAAACATGAACGAAGATCTTCAAAATAATATTACAAAAGGCCACTGGTAATTAATTTCTAAATGATTGTCCTATTTGTTTTATCGGAAGACCATATTTGGAAATAAAATAAATGAAACTGTGATAAAAAGTAACAAGCATTTCCTATGTTGATTATACCTGGCTGTACATAACGTATCTTCGAAACGAATCAAACTGAACTATCACTTAATCTTTAAAAATGGATGTTAACAAAAAAAACAAATTTTAATTTATGAGTGATCTTTAGATAGTTTATAAATTATGTTTTGAAAAAAAAATTCTGACCCCAGTACTAAAAATTTTTGGCTCCGCCACTGCCTAAGTGTCACAACGGTCTGAACCTACAGCGGTTAAGGAGCCGTTGTGGTGCATGTAGTGACTAGAAGCAGCGGTTTGGCGTAACCGCTGCATCTTTCAGAAGGCAATAACTAGTTAACTTAGTGTTGGAGCGGTCATGTGGCAGCAGTTGAGTGCAAACCATTGGGGAAGGATGAACAAACCCTGGCTCTTAGTTTGGAAGAGGCAGAGGTGTCATGCAACGGCTGTTAAAAAGTTGAGGACAGATTCAAGACTAACACCTGTAGTGGCATACTGGCAGCAGTTTGTTTCCAAAGAACCAAGGCCGTTGTAGCTTTACATCGGCTTCATGCAGTGGTGTCTGCAAACTACTGCGAGCCTTTAAAAGTCAACATTCAAAGTTTGACCATATTTTTCTCATTGTGACATATATATATATATATTATAACACTGAAAAAAAGAACCGTACAATGCGAGCATAAGAGCTCGAGAATGTATCATAACTAGAAAGCACATAAGCTGAGACAAATAGAAAGGAAATAAGATTGAGGAGAATTCCGTAGACGAGGGGAAATTCACTGATTCACATGAAAGTGAAAGGTAACACCTTACTCCCTCCCCCTAACTGGGTTTAGCTTCCAAAAATAGCAAATGGTGTAACCAGACCGATGCATTGTGCGCAATGTATGACTGGTGGCGCTTGTCTCGCGTTACACTCGTCGCAATGGCTAATGCAGCTTCGTTCCGTTCTGATAGTACGTGATCAAGCCTCCATATCACAATCCCGTTAAGCTGATTATTAATAGCTTGTACTGTACTTCTGAGACCTGGAGAAGCATTCTGATTGCTTCGGACAAATATATCTCTGCATCACATTCCAATTTTAAGTCTGTTACATACTTGTCAAATAGACAAATATATGTTTTGTATATAAACTATAATATAGAGATATATGTGATATTTAGGATGTTCTGGTGAGCAGAAAGATTAATAAAAAAGATTACTCAGACATGTATCCTATTAAATCAGTATGTCATGGCCATGAGAAGATTTATCATAGTAGAAGTTAAGAACTGAGCAATCATGTTCCACGAGTGAAGCCTTTTCAAAAAGAAAATTGCACTGCTCCTTAATAATATATTAAACTTAATAGACTTAATAATTTATTAAACATAATAAGTTTATTAAACTTAATAAATTTATTAAATTAATTGAATTATTAAACTAATAAATTTATTAAACTTAATAAAATTAATTTAATAAACTTAATAATTTATTAAATTTAATAAATCTAACCCCAAATATACCAGTTGAAATTTATTAAATTCCTTCGTATCGCTGAGAAATATTTTCCCAAACAAAAACTGGTATATATGAACTGGAAAAAGGCTGTTCAACAAGAAAGTGAAAAATTAAACTCCTAAATATATTCCAGAAGCTGAAATGGAATACATATTTTATAAACTCAAATGATTTTCCCTTGCTATATTATACCATTTTTACACACATCATTCATAAATATCTCCCAGTAGAGACACATTTGTCAGCGAATCTATAAAAAGGGAAATATTCTTAAAGAGATAAGATTATACACTGAACCATGACACGTTTCAGTTTATGCTATAATTGTCAATTAATACAAACATATTATCATTTTTCTCCCTCTCATTATATCAAAATTACAGGTCAGATACGATATTAATTGAAATTAGAAAAGTAGCCGCTTATTCTAGAGTCCCTACTATAAGTACGCCTAAGCACTTCCTCTTGTATGTCATCTTATCCCTCACTTCAACTCTCATAGTCTTTAGAAAAGAAAAATGGCCATCGATTCGGTGATGTCCCTTTACCCTAGCAACCCTTTTCTCATGTCATCATCGTTTGCTTCGGAAGACAGTGAGATAGATGATAACCAATTCAACTTCACTATCAGCGACGAGTTGCTAATCGATCCAAAAGACGTTGAGATAAGTGACATCATCGGAAGAGGAAGAAACTCCTTCGTCTGCAAAGGACTGTGTGTTCCTCTTATCTCTCACTAAATTTTTAGATAATTGCATATTACTCTTTTATTTTTGCATTTTTTTTAATTTGTTTTTTTTTTTCACTTTGATTTATTTTTCAATTAGCGTGTTTCTAAAGGAAAAAGGGCTAGGGCTACAACTTTTTCGCGTGTATGTGAACTTAATGATCCTTTTGCTGATTGAAATTGAAAACGAACTGCACTAGGGTTTTTGAGTGTCAAAGTTTCCTTACATATGTTTTATCCTGTAATTTTCAAACTACTGTGGAATTTTCATTGAAGCAATAAATAATTAAGTGAAGAGTTGGTCTTAATGCCCATGAAGCAAACTAAAACTCATAACCTTTGTCAAATGTATTCAACTAGATCTACACCATAAGTTTGTGTGAAGCTACATAGAAACGATCCATGTACAAAACTTAATCAGTCCTATAAGAATCAAGTTTTTTGCCAATCACTGTTTTTGATCAGCATATTACCTCAAACCTTTGAAAATTTTATATGTTTTTTTCTGATGATTTTTAGATACAAAAACCAAGTTCCTGTGGCGGTGAAGCTAGGTCCAACAATAAGAACATCTGCTGGAAGCAAACATTACAAGGAAATGTTCCAAAATGAAGTTATTTTTCTATCCAAGATCAAACATGATAACATTGTGAAGGTCAAAAATAAATATTTATATAAACAAGTAATTTGGTGTTTTCAATATTGTACTATAAATAATGAGTAAACATGGGTTTGTTTATTGGATATTAAGTTTGTTGGAGCTATCATAGAGCCAGTATTGGTGATAGTTACTGAACTCCTTGAAGGCGGTTCTCTTAAGAATTTATTGTGGGGATCTCTTCCAAAGACTCTTGACCTGAAGATGTCACTAAGCTATGCTCTAGATATTGCTCGAGCCATGGAGTGTTTGCACTCAAATGGCTTCATTTACCGCGATCTAAGGCCAAGTAAATATGCTCCATTTACATATATAGTCTGTCCCATAAAGAAAAAAAATCTGATGAATTTACTCTCTCTTTCTCTCTCTCTATCTCTCTGATTGTGTCTAGAGAATGTGTTGTTAACGAGTGATCTGACACACGCGAAGTTGTCTGATTTTGGACTTACAAGAGAAGAGACAACAGGTTGTATGACTACTAAGGCTGGAACTTACAGATGGATGGCTCCTGAGGTGAATCATTGAGCTCGAACTTCTACCAAAATTATATGAAAGATATCTAAGTTAAAGGTTTTCTTTTGTGTATATCTGCAGGTAATTAACCGTGAGCGTTATGATCACAAAGTTGATGTTTATAGCTTTGCTATAGTTTTATGGGAATTGCTTACCAAAAAACTACCATTCAGTGGACTCTTTGACATCAATGTGGCTTATTTAGTAGTAAGCAAGGTAAAAAGTCACACAAGGTAAAAACTATATGATATGTTGAAATGAATTGATCTTCTATTCTTACAGAACAAGAGGCCAAGTCTTTGTGATATTCCCGATGATGTTGCCTCCATTCTGGAATCTTGTTGGGCAAAGGATCCGAAGGCACGTCCTGAGTTCAAGGAGATTACTGTCTTATTGTCAAACTTACTAACCACCTTGTGCTCAGATAATAACTGTGGATTCGGTGAGCAATCTGATTTAGAAAGCGTGTGCTCGGACAACAGTAGTAATCGGACAATGATTAATCATCCAGCATTAAACGAGGAAGATTATGATGGTGACGATGATATGGAAGATGAGTGTTCAACGAGCACTCTGATTCAAATGCGTAATAGCCAGGAGACAAAACCAATGAAGAAGATGGGGGAGGTGAAGAAGAGAGTGATGAAACTGATATCTCCTTTCTTTAAGATGTTCAAGCATTGTTTGTCCAAGCCATGACCAACTTTTGTATTTACAACACTGAAGACTTCGTCAGTGTTGGTTTCTTCTTTTTATTCGTGTTTTGTTGTCTTTTGTTGTTGAATTAAAAAAAAAAAAATGCATTGCCATTCCTCTTTTTGCAGAAAATTAACAACCTTTTTACATAAGATATCGATATGTTATCGTTATGGTAATATATATCGACTGAATAAATCTCTCATAGGTTTGGATAAGTTTAAGATTTTAAATTTGTAAAAAAAACACATTAGATTTAGGTTGATAGCTAAAACCGAAAGTTATAATCAGTTGGATTTGATTAAGAAGCAAGTAACTTGTCAATAGATCAGCATTGTTTTCTGTGGATTAAGTATTTATATTGTATGTACATCATTGTAAACATTATCCTTATCTAAAAGTAACTAATAAAAAAAACAGAAGCTTATATGTACACATTGTTCTGATGAGATGAAACCCCAAATTTGATCAAAGTAGCTTATTTCAAGCAAACTAACAAACCCTAGGGTTCACCAAGACAACCAACAAAACCCTATATGTTAATCAAAAGTAAGAAAAACACTTCAACTGCATGAACACTTCATGCGACGACGACGAGTTTCTTCAACTGATACAGAAACTTACGAGCAGCTGATATGTGGCGACGTATNCTTCTTCTTCTTTGAAGTTACTTCTTTGTCTCGTATTGACTTCTTGGGGTTTCCTTCGTGATCCCAAACTTTTCCATAGATCCAGTTCTCGTTTTCCATCATGGATATATAAAAGCTTTTTCTTCTATCAAGCTAAGCTCTCTTGGTAAAAGACAAAAAACTGACGGATTAACTGAATAGTGATAGGGTATTATATATATACACAACCTTGTTGTTGTTTATATTCCGGTTTTCCTTCTTTTTTTTTTAATGTTAAGGAGTTTTACTGGGTCAAGGATTTGAGAGGATTTTGACTCTTTTTTTTCCAAATCCCCTTCTATTGTGTTTAGCATTTATAAAATCTATATAAAATCTAAGCTTATTGTATTAGTCATTTACATAATTTTTTTCCAAATTCCAGCTAGTTATTGGAAAATATGAATTTTGTCAATAAAATCTATCAAATGAGATCTGGTAGGATTCGAATAATATTTTATAGTAAAAAGCAACGAATCTCAGTATCATCTCATCTCCAATGTTGGGATTGGATTTTTTTTTTCAAAAAAATAAAATGAAATAAAAAGAAATTACTTCACATTTTAAAAAAGAGAACCAAATTCTTTGAAGCAGAAATATACTTTTAAATCAGTTTGAATTTTTTTTTTCATAAACGATAATAATATTAAATTATAGTAACTTTTAAAATAAATATTTAAAACTTTACAAGTTTTTTAAAAAACTTTGAAATTTCTTCAAAAACTTAGAAAACTTGTAACAAATTTCTGTATATATTCAAATCTCGAAATTTTCTAAAATCTTGATTCAGTAAACCTCCTATATATAGTGGAACTTAGAAGGTCTGCAAGCCTAATTAGAAAATGTTATTTACAAAAGAGCACACATTTTTTGAAAATATGTATTTATTTTTGGAAAATTTATTATATTAAATTTAACCAATTATCTAATATAACATATAAATTTAATATTATTAACGTAAAATTATTTTTAATTATATAATAAATTATATATAAAATTTTATTAAAGCTATCATTGAATTTGGCGTCTAATTTTTAATATAAAAACTCTAACTGAAAAATCAATTTGTGAAATAGGGTACAACTGGTTGGGGACTGTATATGTTTATTAGTAGGGATTTTTTGCAAATTTGACTCAAAACTAGGGCTGTTCAATATGGTGATACCGAACCGTACCGAACCGAACCAAACCGAAATAGACAATATGGTTTGGATTTGGTATATACCATATAAACCGAATGGATATGATTTTATAAAAACCGTAGGATTTGGATATTGTTAGGTTTATAACCGATTAAACCGAATAAACCGAACAAAACCGATCAAAGAAAAAAATATAAATATATAAATATATACATTATATAACCATTTATTTTCTTGGAATAGTCTTTTTATTTTTATTTTTTATACCTTGTGAAGATATATCTTAATAATTTTATTTTATTTTCTTCAACTATTATCTAAATTTGATTTGATTTTACATGTTGTAAGAAATTGTGAAATTAGATCGTACCATGTAATTTATTTGGAAGAACAAAGAGAAAATAAGAAAAGCTATACAAAACTGAATCGTTGATCGTTTTGTTTGTTTTTAATTTAACATTTTTATATTTATGAACACCTAGGATTATTTTAATAAATGATAGTTTTGACAATATGTTTTAAAAAAAAATTCATATAATATGAAACCAAATCAAATAATAATGTTATTTGGTATAAAACCGAATAAACCGAAAACCGGTAGTATAAATACCGAACCAAACCAAATTAAATATGGTTCCAATATGGTAGCTAATTTTTATAAACCGAATAACCGAAAACCGAAAAAAATCGAACCGAAACCGGACCGAACACCAGATTGAACATGCCTACTCAAAACTTAAAGTCAGACACAAAACTAACTTTTTTTTGAATTTTCGTTTGTCTTATTCACCCCATCTGTTCACATTATTTACAAAAATGCCATTACATTTTTTTCTTCTTTTTTTTCGAAAATTGTTTTTTTACTTTCTCAACCTCATCATCTTCAAGTATTTACAAGATTGACATTGCTATCAATACCCTAACTACCATGAACAACCAATTTGAAACTCTTAATGCACCTAAAATCGATTTACACTCTCTCTTTCTCAATTGTTATGAATCAAAAACAACATCTCTTTCACTTTGTCTCCATATTCATACAAAAAACCCAAGCTTTTGATTCAAATTTTTTTATGGTTGATAGAACCATTTAAGCATACAATTCTCGGTGGGTTACTTTCATTTGATAATTTGGGTGGTTGGAGAAGACTTTGTGTGCTAAGGAAGTCATCTCACCTAGTTTAAGGTATGAAATTAGATTTTTTTTCTAGATCTGTTCGCGTAGAAGACTTTCGCGTAAGTCTTCTGGATGTAAGTCGTCCAGCTGGACGACTTAGAAGTAAGTCATCCAGTTTTGTATGTTCAAAAAAAAATCTAGACGACTTATAAGTCTAGGAAAAACAGGCTTAACTGAATCGTGATAGGGTATTTATATATACACAACCTTGTTGTTGTTTATATTCCGGTTTTCCTTTTTTTTTTTTTAATGTTAAGGAGTTTTACTGGATCAAGGATTTGAGAGGATATTGTCTTTTTTTTTTCTTTTCAAATCCCGTTCTATTGTGTTTAGCATTTATAAATTCTATATAAAATCTAAACTTATTGTATTAGTCATTTATATAATTTTTCCCAAATTTCAGCTAATTATTGGAAAATATGGATTTTTTCAATAAAATCTATCAAATGAAATCTGGTAGAATTCGAATAATATTTTATAGTGAAAAGCAATGAAGCTAAATATCATCTCATCTCCTATGATGGTATTTGTTTTTTTTTTCAAAAAAAATTAAAATGAAATAAAAAGAAATTACTTTACATTTTAAAAAAGAGAACCAAATTGTTTGAAACAAAGTATTCTTTTAAATTAATTTTTAAAATTTTATATATTTCATAAATGACAATAATATCAAAATATAGTAAATTGTAAAATAAATATATTATTTAAAATAATTATTTAAAACTTTACATTTTTTTCTAAAAAAACTTTGAAATTTCTTCAAAAACCTAGAAATTAAGCTTGTAAAAAATTTATGTATTTATTCAAATATCGGATTTTCTAGAATCCTTGATTCAATAAACCATCCTATATCTATTGGAACTTAGAAGGTCTCCAAGCCTAATTAGAAAATGTTATTTACAAAAGCGCATACTTTTTTGAAAATATGTATTTATTTTTGGTAATTTTATTATATTAAATTTAATCAATTATTTTATATAACATATGTATCTAATATTATTAATATAAAATTTATTTGTAATTGTATAATAAATTATATATAAAAAATTATTAAAGCTATCATTGAATTTAACCTCTAATTTTTAATGTAAGAACTCGAACTGGAAAATTAATTTGTGAAATAGGGTACAATTGGTTTGGGGGACTGTATATGTTTATTAATCACCGTATAACATTTTCCATAAATTACTGTATAAACTATATCTACATTACTGACAAAGAAAACTATACTTAAAACATAGTTCCATTTTCAACAAAAATCTAACAAAAACAATTGGGTTCCAAGAGTTAATTAAGAGTTTCTATTAAAAGAATAAATGTAACTCCCCTACACAGGTAACGTAACCAAAACAGACTAATTTATTGCAATTTGTTGAAAGTAAACTTGAAGTTAACTTGGAAACCAAGAAATACTAATCCTATTGAGAATAGGATTAGGAATAAAGAGATAACGTTTGAGGAGTGAATTTAGGAGAATCTAGGATCTATATATATGGAGATATCAACTTGTGATATTACATATGAGTTTATGAGAGATCCTTTGTGAGAGCTTGAGTTTTGAGAAATTTTCTTAAGATATTAATAAGATTTGAGTTAGTCTTATTGTGATCTTTGAAGCTTTTACGTTAAGGTTTAAACAAGATTTGGTATCAGAGCCAAACATGAGTGAAATCACAGCAACAACAGCAGCAATAACAACGAGAGGAAAAGATGGAGCCATCGTTCATTGTCCAATGCTTACAACAACAAACTATACCGTTTGGGCAATCCGTATGAAGGTCCTACTTAAGGTGCAGGAAGTTTGGGAAGTAGTTGAACAAGAAACAGAGGATAAAAAGAAGAATAATGCGGCTATATCTTTGATTTTTGCTTCAATACCCGAAACCCTAATCCTACAAGTGGGAGACTTGGATAATGAAAACAAGGTTTGGGAAGCAATCAAAACTAGGCATATGGGAGCAGATAGAGTGAAAGAAGCAAGGCTTCAAACACTTATGGCAGAGTTTGATAAACTATCAA